ACACCTTTCCTGATTTTAAACCACACAGTATCTCTTTGTTCTGTTCAAATGACTGCCTTTTGGTCTATTTATAGGTTCCTTAAGTGCACAATTAAGTTGTTCTGGAATTCCGATTCTTTGCAATGTTATCCATAATTTGTTATGAACCACATAGTCAAATGCCTTTGTATAGTCAATAAAATACCGGTAAACAGCTTTCTGGCATTCTCTGCTTTCAGCCAAGATTCGTATGACATCAGCAATGATATCCCTCCTTCTATGTATTCTTCTGAATCTGGCTTGAATTTCTGGCAGTTCCCTGTGGAGGTACTACTAAAACCGTTTTTGAATTATCTGTGATATGAATGACTTTAAATATGTATTTCAATTATTGGAGGAGGCTAATTAATCTAGATGTCCTAAATGGGGTTCAACAACTTTTCTGTCCAAAATTCAGTTAGAATACACAAAATCAACCATATGCTATCTGATTACTTTGTTTTATCATAGTACACGGTTAACAAAGTTCATTTCTTATGGATTTATCCTCATCTATGAACATATGCCATGAAAATTTAATTAATTTGACCAAGTTACTTATTTTCTTAGATTAACTTTTCTAAAAATCTGAATTTTTAATTTTAAATACTCACTGTCTTGGACTGAAAGAAATAAGTTTGATTAGGTCACATTTTTATGTTATGCAGGAAGATGTCATGCTTCACAAACAAGAATCTGAGATAAAACCAAAAATTGGTGTCCACCAAAGAAACAACACAGTACAATTCTACATATAGGGGATTAAACCTATGAAATTTTGTATCTAAGGGCTATAACATATTCCACTTATATAAAGAATAATTTCTCTATAAGCCTAAAAGTAAATAGGCTAAAGAATCCAAAGAGAATGAAAAAAGAATGAGATCACTGATAGTGATAGTATTCTTTGCTTCCATGAAATAATGAATATCATGTTTTGAATGATAGTTACAGCCCTCTTCCAACTAAGGTCGTTTTTTTACTCCAACGCTTCCTCATGGTATTTTTCATTTCTGAGTTTCTCGGTATAAAACAAAAGGGGGAACACAGGGGTTATGAAAGTTAAAAACACAGTCATGAATTTATCAGTGGAAAAAGACAGATTCGGGGCTTGCATACAGGATGATGCAGAGAGTAAAGACTAAAATTACCACAGTGATATAGGATGCACAGGTGTTTCCCTTCCAAATCATTAGTCTTCAAGGAGTGCAAGATAACCCCAAAGAAGACTAGTAGGATGAAGAAGATCACAGTGCAAATTGCCCCTCCACTGGCTATCACAGAAAGTCTAGTAACGTAGGTATTCATAGAAGCAAATTTCAGTAAAGGATAAACACCACACATAAAGTTGTCAATGACATTGAGACTACAGAAAGGGAACAAATAGATAAAGAGAAATTGAACCCAAGAGTGTAGAAAGGTTCCATTTGAGGCTACCAACAGCATGAGAACACACACTCGCCAATTCATAATGAACAAATAATGAAGAGGTTTACAGATGGCCACAGATTAGTCATAGGTCACCACCACCAGAAGAATAACTTCAGCACCAGCAAATAAATGATCTATAAAGACTTGTGCCGTACAAGCAAGGAAGGGAATGATCTTTTTCTCACAGAGCATGTATACGATCATTTTGGGAGCAACAGAAGTAGAATGCACAGTATATATAAATGATAAATAGGTGAGAAAAAATATACATGGGGGAACCCAGGGATTGGCTGGACATATCTGTCACCATGATGAGCAGATTGCCCACTACCATCACAATGTAGATGGGTAAGAATGTGATAAATGAAACTTTTTGCCCTTCAGGATACTGAGTCCCAGGAGGACAAACTCAGTCACAATGTTCCTATTTTCCGTGTGTCATTCTGAAGAAGTTGAACTCAAGTGTCAGAGCCTGTGAACGAAAGGGCCAATAATAAATTTGAGAAGATCACAAATTCTATGCCAAAAATTTGATGCCCCCCTCAACAATGTTTTCTCCACAGAGCCTTGCACACAACAGCTCTTTAGAAAATGGATACTTGGAATCGTCTGCAACAGTAACTTCCCCATTCATTTTCTCATGTTTTTTGCTTCACTCTCAATGATGAGACTTTGGCATTAAAACTGGGTTCTATATGTGAGTGGCTACATCTGTGACATGATCTACTGAAAATAAGAAAGCTTTCTCCAGAATGTCTTTCAAAATACTGAATGTAACATTATATATCATTTATCTCACTTTATAAAATGGAACATCTGGCAAGATGTCCCCTTCCATTGTTGAGTGATATGAATGCAATATTAACTTCCTGCTAAAGAAAAACAAAATACTTTGTTTCCAAAAGAAACTTCTCAAATAGAAGTGTGTGATTCAATATGGACACCTGCAGATATTCTCCCTCTGAATGGTACAACCTCAGTCAAAGAAGGCATAGTTAAGTCTACCCAATGGCCAGATGTATGAGCAGCATATTTAGTAGTGAACGGGGCACTCAGTTCTCACAGTTGGAGCAATGTATGCTATTTACACAATAATGGGTTGTGGTTAATACACTCACCGTTTGGTCAGGCAAACAATCCCTTGAGGAATGGATAATCAAGAATGTAATCATAGAGAATGCTATTATGGAAAGCCTCATGGGTATCCTGAGGAAAGATTAAAGTCAGTCATGTAAATGCCAGCAAAAAACCCAGGCTTTGGCTCAAAAAAGAATAGAATGCCTTTGTCATAATCTCCAGAAGTAGCCACTTGGATATATAATATAAATAGCATATAATTATGCCTAGAATAACACCATATTCCACTAAACCAACCAAAGGCTCTAATGTGGTGGGAGACCATGTTGAATAGCAATAGCAGGAAAGCTCTTAAAACAGCTTTGAGAAGGATTCCTCAGGGCCAAGGACCAACATATAGTTGTAGAGAAACTGCAAAGGACCATCAGCTACAACTCCTGGTGGCTTAGAATGGGTTTATACAGAAGTAGATTTTATTTTCTGAGAGATTTTTAATTCCACTTTAGGCTTCACTTCTTCTATAATCCAAACCACAACTGAAAACACGAGCAAGCTATTGAAATAATACTCTGTGTACCAATTAGTTCCACTAAGTTACATCTCACTGAACCAAGCCAGAAATTTTCCCATGGCCAAAACCAAAAATCAAACCCATTGCCATCGAGTCTATTCCAACTCACAGTGATCCCATAAGTGTTACAAAGTAGAACTGCCGCATAGGGCTTTTTTTTACTGTAATTATTACAGAAGCAGATCACCAGCCCTTTCTTCCACAGTGCCACTGGGTGAGTTCAAACCACCACCATTAAGGTTAGTTGTCGAACACAAACTGCTTGCACCACCCAGGGACGGAATACACATGTATGTGTAGTTATAACCAAACCCGTGTGTGGTTGGATATAGACCCACATATGGTTAAATACACACCCTTGTAAGGTCAAATAAAGAACCATGTGCGGTAGAATAGAAGCCATAATGATCAGATACATGCCAGTGTATGGTAAGATATCGCATAAAGTGTAAATGGATACAGACCTGTGTGTAGTCAAATGGACATCTCAGTAGTCAGATACAGACTCACTTGTGGTCAGAAAGAGATCCATGTGCATTCACATACAAATGTGTGTGTGCAGTTGCACACAGACCTAAGTATCACTGGATACACACCCATGTATGGTCACACAGACCCACATGAGGTCAGGTACAGATGCAGATGTGTCATGGACACAGACTCATGAGTGATTGGATACAGATATATGTGTGTGCTGGATACAGATCTATGCATCATCAGTTAAAATCTATATGTGGTCAGATACAGATCTGCATGTGGTCAGATACAAACTCATATGTCATAAGATACAGACACGTGTGGTCAGGTTAAGGCCCATATTGTGTAGAATACAACACATGTGTTGTCAGGTAAAGATCTATATGGTCAAGTGAAGACACTTGTGGTTGGAGATACACTAGTGTGTGGCCAAATATAAATCTTTTTATAGTCAGATACGAGCTTGTTTGTGGTAAGATACCCACCAAACCAAATCCATTGCTGTCGAGTCATTTCTGACTCCTAGCGACCCTACAGGACTGGGTAGAACTGGCCCATAGAGTTTCCAAGGCTGCAAGCAGATTGCCACATCTTTCTAGAAAGTGCTGAGCTTCTGGATGGTTCAAACTGCCAAACTTTCAGTTGGAAGCCGAGCACTTAACCACTGTGCTACCAGGGCTCCTTTGTGGTAAGATACAGACCTATATATTATAGGATACAGTGTATGGTCAGATACCGACCTGTGTGTAGTTGTGTACTGAATCATGTGTGGTCAGATATGATAAAGACCCATATGTGGTTGGAAACACACACACACACGTGAATGTATACAGATCCATGTGTGGTTGGATACAGACCAGCTTATGGTCAGGTACAGACCTCTGAATGGTTTGAAACCGACCTATGTGTGGTCAGAAACAGACTCATGTGTGGTCAGACACACTCATATGTGCTTATATATTGACTCGTGTGTCGTCAGATATAGATCCTTGCGTGTTCGTACATATACCCGTGTATGACCTTAATACAGACCCATGTATGATCAGATACATTTCAATGTATGTTTAGATACAGACCTGTGCCCATGGCTTTGAGAATTGAGCATTAACTCATGCCAGCAAAAGACAATGAGTCCTTTCTGATCAACTCATTGAAAATATGAATCAAATGTAAATAACAGAATTCCCTTTATAAGAAAAACAAAAGGAAAGTTCTATGTACACTCTATGTAGCTGACTACAAATTTTCATGGAGACTTATACATTAAGCCCTAATAATATGTCTCTTATTCTGGATGAAAAACCTAGACATGATAACATAACATCTTATCAAAATAGATATTTTAAGACATGAAATTCTACAAGTAATTTTATAGGAAGTTTTGTTCCTCTGCATTTCAAATTGTGTTATTCTGAAATCTGCAGTAAGTGCTATTAATTGTGAAAATGATTATATTTATTTAAGAAAGAGACTTGAGAAAATCTTCCATCAACTAAAATAAATGACTGGTATTAACTGTAGCGTAAGTCATTGCATAGAACATAACTTCATAGACTCAACAGAACCATTCTATACCAAAAAAATTAGCATATGTTTTCCCAGGAAATAAAAAATCTTAGAAATATATTTTGAACAAAATTTATCATTGAAAGTATTCCAATAAATGTTTTTCATTATGCACAAGTTATGAAACCTGAGGAAATATTTACCACAATTAAGGAACTACACATCGGTTTCCTGGAATCAGCTCAGTGGCAATGGATTTGGGTTTTTTGTTATATTTTGTCATCCTGGAGGGGGCAATTATTTATGGACAGTAGGTGATGCATTTGTCTACGACCTCATTTTCTTTTTCTGGTCCCAAGCTTCTTTACGGCATTTTTCATCTCTGCATTTCTCAGGGTATAGATTAAAGGGTTAAACATAGGGGTGAAAACAGTGTAAAACACAGTCAAGAATTTATCAGTGGGTGAGGTGGAAGGAGGTCTCACATACATAAAAATACAAGGGACAAAGAAGAGGACCACCACAGTGATGTGGGAGCCACAGGTGGTTAAGGCTCTACGCCTCCCTTCCTGACTAAGGTTCTTCAGGGAATGCAGAATGACTCCATAGGAGAGGAGTAACAGCATAAAAACGACCACACATATTGCCCCATCATTGGCAATCATGGTAAGACCAATGACATAGGTGTCTGTGCAGGCAAGTTTTAATAAGGGGTACATGTCACAGATGAAGTGGTCTATGACATTGGGGCCACAGAAGGGAAGGTTGTAAACAAAGAGAAGCTGAACTACAGCATGCACAAAACCTCCAACCCAGGCCACCACCAGCAGCAGAACACACACCTGTTGGTTCAGGATGGTCATATAATGCAGGGGTTTGCAGATGGCCACGTAGCGGTCATAGGCCATGACCACCAGAAGTAAAATCTCAGCACCACCAGATAAGTGTCCTACAAAAAGCTGAATCATGCAAGCTTGAAAGGAAATGGTTTTCTTCTCATAAAGTAAGTCTATAATCATATTTGGAGTAACTGTAGTAGAATAAACAGCATCCATAAATGATAAGTAGCCAAGAAAAAAGTACATGGGAGCATCCAGTGTTGGGCTGACCACCACAGTCACAACAATTAGTAGATTGTTCACCATTGTCACAATGTAGATGAGTAAGAACACAACAAATAATATTTTCTGACCCTGGAGACTCTGAGTGAGCCCCAAGAGGACAAACTCAGTCACATTGTTCCTTTGTTCCATATGTTCTTCTGTGTGTCCTTACTTCAAAGAGTTCAGGACAAATTTACCTGTAAATATAATGAAGACTAGTGATTTTTTGAAATCTCGAGATAATTTGTTTATTCATTCAACAATTAGGCATTATGATTTATTACGTTTCAGCAGTGTCCAAAAAAATAAGAATACAAGGCTGATTTATTTAAACATGGCCCATAAACTTAGTAATCTTACTGAATAATTACAGGCAAACAAGTAATTAAAAACATATGGGAAAAGAGCAGATTATGAAATAAATTGGGCTGCCACACTAACTTTACATCTGGGAGAAAATAAAATTGTATATATATAGCCAATGCTGTATATAAAAATAAAATATAAATAGATTAATTACAATGTAAAAATAAATGCAGATTTACTTAATATTCACTTTCATGCTAATAATTGAAATTATTTTCTACATTCTAGGAAAGACAGAATCATTTTAACAATAACCAATTCTGAATGGACATATTTCACCATTTCAAAAATTGGTATTGACAAAGAAATAAGCATAAAATTATGTATAATACTGTTTATAAAACAAAATAAAAATAATTACATGAGCATGAAGAAAATATAGAAAGATACAATTTTTTGTTATAAATGGGATACTTTTGTCCTGGTGATGTGTGTACAGGAGTGAAAAAGATAAGAGGGGAGATTTCAAAGATAAGAAGAAAAAGAAGACCGCATACACACACACACGCACACAAACTATATCATACGCATTATGAATATTAACCAACCTGCTATCTCTTAAAATAATTCTAGTAATGATATCCAGTTACTCTCCAAGTCTCTACTGACATTTATTTCAATATCTGACCTCTTAATACTGCCAGATCGCCTCTTCACAATACATGGATTTTGTATCTTTCTATGGCTAAATCCTCTTTGTGTGCACTAGATTCCATTCTCGTTATCATTCTTAGTACAATCCTCCTGTAATTGTCTCCTCCACTTCCTATATTAACAAGTTTCCTCTCTATACTTATACAGTACGGCATTTCCATTGTTTAAATAATTTATCCTTTCACTCCGCATAGTTTTCAAGCAAGCAACCCAATTCTCTGTTCTTCTTTATAAAAACGCCTTTGATTTGCTAAATCTAGTGATCAATTTCAGTCCTTTTCTCACCCAACCCATCACTCCCATGAACGGAAGTAATAACCTGCTTCCATTAAGTACCACCGTAGGTCCTTGAAAGTCACTCATTCAAGGTTTACAGATATACATCATTCTCTAATTATTAACAGATTAACAAACAATGCTTATAGAGCACTTCTATTGATCTTCCTTGAGATTTACAAATATCTGTAACAGTTGCCCGTGAAATTAGTTTCTAAGGATACTGATGTTAGAGAAGGTAAATGTACTCTAGATCTTTATACTATCAAAATATCCAAAAGGGAATTACAGAATTAAGTCAATCCTCATATTTTTACCCAGCATAAAGGATCTCTTACAGAGCTGATTATCAGAATCACTTAGGAGAACTTTTAAAAGACTACGACTTTCCAAAGCACACTACCACTGTACTCTTGCATAATGTAAAGCCTGGTGAAGACTCTTATGCATAAAAACACTTGCAGGGTTACCTGAATAACAAAACAATCATTTGATTCAACTTGTAGACTGTGGTGCCTTCTACCTAGTCCTAAAACATAATAGCTTCGCACACTGTTGCCATCTATGTGAACACAGAAAGTAAGATAGTATACTCACTATCACGGTACTAGAAATGTTTCTCTGTGGCTGACTCTTTTCATGTTTCAGGAAGTCTGTCTCATCTCAGTCTTTCATAAAATTGTTACTTTTTAAATTATTGGGACTTTTAATACAAATATCAAAAATGTCCTCTATCCAAAAGAAGTCTGAATCTTCAGTAGAAGAGAGCCAAACACCACATTGCTGGTATAATTGGTCCTAAAACAATCAAACGTTAAATAAGTAGTATCAGGTAAAAAAAAAAATTAAAAAGTAGATTTTGTGGGAAAGAGAATTGTGAATAGTTTAGAAAATATTTTGCATTCTGTGGTTTAGAAGTGAAATAGGCTTTACAACATTTCGATTCTCAATCGGTTATACTGGCCTAACTTCATACTACATAGTTAAACTTTGGTTTGCCTGAAGGATGGAGAATAATTTCATATTCATACTCTGTTATGCTTTCAGTCCATCGTTTCCATTCCTGAAAAAAGCCAGTCATGTAAACACTCACATTGACAAGCACTCGCTGTGGTAAGAGTAAGAGTCTTTGGACATTTTATTTATATTTGAACTACAACAAATATTGTTGAGTCATTTAATTGATGCATCTCAGAGGGCGACTCTTCTATCATTAAACTCATTGCGACCTTCATCATAATTCTGAGAGTAGGTTCTGCATCTCCAGAGATGCTACAAGAATAATCACCCACAAAGGACAGGACTTACAGGACGAGGTCCTCAGGGGAGAAAAATCACAAAAGTATAACCTCAGGTCAAATCATACAAAGGGAAGAGTCCAGACTGGGAAGAATTTGAATATGTAAAAATTCTTTTTTAAATTATGATCTTCAAAATAGGCGAAGCTGTTGAATGTGTAAGTTTAAGTTATTCGTTTGCAGATGACATCTGAACTCACTCCCAGTGGACTAAGAAAGAGGATTTCAGAACAAGTCATTGAAAGCTTAATTCAAATGCATATAAAGCAGGGTTCTCACCTGTTATGGATTGAACTGTATTCCTCAAAAAGATATGTTGGAGTCCAAACCCCTACACCTGTGGATGTGACTGTAAATAGGGTCTATGAAGATGTTATCAGTCAGGATAACTTGAGATTTTATTGGAGTAGGGTGGCTCACAATGGTGCTCTTATAAAAGAGAAGATACACAGAGACAAAGAGAGAGAGATGAAGAACACCATGGGATGCTGCTGTAGCAACCTAAGAATTCCTGGAGCTACTAGGAGCTAGGAGAGAGGAGTAGAACAAATCTCTATCAAAGCCTCAGAAGGAATCAACACAGCTGACACCCTGATGCTGAACCTCCACCTCTAGAACTAAGACAATAACTTTCTGTTGTTAAAGCCATCTGCTTTATAGAATTTTGTTATGGCAGCCCTAGGAAACTTATACATCACACTAGCAGTAAGAGTCTTGGGTTTGTCACAGGAAGAGTTTCAGACAGGCAACTTGGTAAAATATGTATTGAACATGAAAAATACATATAAAATATTTAAAGGAACAGCTTGAAAATGTATGAATTCTAAGTTCTTTCACACAGCCCCTTCTGAGGAAAACATTACCAACCGCTTCTTTTTACACAAAGTTTCAAGGAACTCTGTTCGTGTGGGAGGAGGAAATTCCATCACTTGGAAATGGGCATAAAGAGTAAGAAAATTTGTAGAAATTGTAGAGTGTCAGTTGCCTCCGTTATGTTTTCTCCCTCCTTTACTTTAGTGTTAGACCTTATATTTCCTGGGAAAGTAGTAGTCCCAGATTTAAAAAATTAAATTTCCCAGCATCCTTTGAAAATTAAGATGGCCTATAAGATACAAGTCATTAAGTGAGACATGCAGGAAGTGAGATGATTCAACTGGAAGCCAAACTCCCTTTCACCCTTCCTCCTTCATGCTTCTCTAGATCTCAGACAAAGTTGTACAGAGCTCAAACAGCCATCCCATGACAGTGACGATGATTATACCACTAGCATGGAAGTAAAGAGACAGGGAAGTGAGAGTCCTCCTACTCTGTTCTTCCTTTTCAAGACTGCCTAGGCTATTCGGAGCCCTTGGCAGTTCTATATACATTTGAGGACTGATTTTTCCATTTCTGTAAAGAAAGCCTTTGGAATTTTGAGGGGGATGTCCTTCAATTTATAAATTGCTTTAGGTAGTATCGACATCTTAACAATACTGAGTCTTCCAATCCAGGAGCATGAAATGTCCTTCCATTTGTTTAGGTCATCTTTAATTTCTTTTAGCACTCTTTTACATTTTTCTGTGTACAAGTCTTTCACTTCCTTGGCTAAAATTATTACTATTAATTTTATTCCCTTAGATGCTATTGTAAAAGGGAATTTTTTTTCTTAGCTTCCTTTTTCTTTCCATCAGTGTTCATTGCTGATGTAGAAAATCTCAACTTATATGAGTGAGCACAAGAAACTTTGTCCCTGAGATAATCTTTAAACTTTAAACCTTAAACCAAAAGTATACCCTGAAGTCTTCTTTGAACCAAAAAAACAGATTATTTTAATTAGCAAATTACCTCTGCTTTGAGCACTGTGCTCTTTTAAAGAATTTTCTACATGAGATCAAACTTACAAATGGTAACTCAAGACATTGGATGGGAAACTTAGGCGGCAGTTAGTTCAAGACAATGGTGGTGAAATAATGTGGAAAAGCTAACTGTGAGAATGGCAGCACAATTTTAAGAACATAACCAATGTCACTGAAATGTACGTTTAGAAATTGTTGAAATGATGTATATTTGGCCCAGTATACTTTCTCCAAAATAAAGAAATTTAAAATAATAAAATGACATGAAAGTCAAGAGCTAGTAATTGCCCATAACTGGACTAAACCAAAGCTAAGAAGTTTCCTGAATATAATCAAACACTTTGAGAGACAGAGTAGCAGGGGTAGGGGTCTGGGGACCATGCTTTCAGGGGACATCGAGGTCAAATGGCATAGCAAAGCTTATGAAGAAAATGTTCTGCTCCTACCTTGGTGAGTGGCATCTGGTGTCTTAAAAGCTTGCAAGCAGCCATCTAAGACGCATCAATTGGTCCCAACCACCTGGACAAAAGGAGAATGAAGAACACCAAAGACACAAGGAAAGTAGTAGCCCAAGAGACAGAAAGGGCCACATAAACCAGAGACTTCCATCAGCTTGAGACCAGAAGAACTAGATGGTGCTCGGCTACCACCAATGACCTCCCTGACAGGGAACACAACAGAGAGTCCCAGATGGAGCAGGAGAAAGTTGGGGTGCAGAACT